CCTTTTTTCAAGGTTCTTAGTTTCTTTACATTGGGCTAGAACATGTTCTTTTAAGTTTCTTATTATCCACCTTCTGAAGCCCAATTCTGTTAATGGAATGCACTTGTTCTCCATCAGGCCTTGTTCCCTTGTTGATGAGGAACTGTGACCCTTGTAGAGGGAGAGGCATTCTGATTTTGGGTATTCTCAGCCTTTATAAGGTGGTTTCTTAACGTCATTGTAAATTTATCTACCCGTCATCTTTGTAATTACCCACTTTCAAATTAGGTCTCTGAGTCCGACTTGTTGATTCCCAGCACCAGAATCTGAGCAACCCACTGCACCAGCTAAAACAGTGGCATTAAGATTCATGGTGCTTTTCTGCCTGGGAATCTCCGGTCTGGCTTCCTTCTTGAGTCCGTTTTTCAATCAGCTGAATAGGCGACTCTGCCTTCCCGCAGCTCCAAACGTCGACCAAAAGGGGACCCAGTCCCATTTACTCTGCACTGAGAACCACCACGCTGGCCACAAGAGTCGCTCTGGTGACCTGTGGGGCTCCTCTGCTGGGAATCTCCTGGTCTGTGAGCAACAAAAATTTGTCTGAAAGTGTGGCGTCCTCTCGTTCTTTGAGCTTTCACTGGGAGCTACAATCCTGAGCTGCTAGTAATCAGCCATCTTGGATCTCTCTCCCATCTACCACGTGTCTGTCCATTGCTGGTATCCAATCCAGGCCTGATATGCCAGCTGGCCTGAATGACAGGGAGCAACCCTGGAGAGTCTGCCGTTTTTAAAGAAAAATTGGTCTTGTTAATATTAGAAACTGAAATTCTGAAATCACCCTAAGACATGGTGTACAAAATGAATTTGGGGCAGTGAGTCTTACTTCTTTGCATTCCTTCTTTCCATACATCTAATGGTCTTACCTAACTACACTTAAAAGCATTGTATAAGCAATCATTGTTTTCTTTTTTCAAAGATAAAGACATGGCTTCCCCTTGTTTAAAACTACTAAAGGATGGTTTCACTTTTTTAGAGAAAAACTAAGTCCTGGCATTCTTTTCCATTGTTTCAGTTTTGGAATACACAAAGCAAGAAGAGAAAAATTGTTTTCACTTACCCCAAAGGACATGTTTGTTGAAGACTTTTAAAGGAGGCTGGTGGGGAATGGAAGTAAACACCAGGCATCATTCCTTGAACGCTGAAAATAGCCTCTATATGAGAATTATGCTGATTTCAAATATTTTAAGGAAATTAATATTTGTAGAAATTACTGTAATTTAACCTAGCTTCCAGGCATTTTATTATACAGATGTTAGAAGTGATTTTATGTAAAGCCTTTTCTTCGTGCCAGTAGAGAATATCGCCAGGTGAGCTTTCTGTCTTACACCCCATATTGAGGGATTTAGTCATCAAGGACTTCTTTAAAATGAATTCTTTCTCTAGGTTTAATCCTCTTAGAATTAGAAAACTATATTAGAATAGGAAGCAGCCTAAGGTGTCACTTATGAGTCTCTTCGTTTTCTGTATCTTAATACAGAATAAGAAATAAATGCAAAAAGGTCAAATGATTTGCTTTAATAGCTGCAAGGCCAGCATAAGGTGGCAAAGTAATTTAGAAGCAAAGTGTCTGTTTCTCTTACACAAGTGAGTGGATCTAATTGACTGTGATTTTGTTTGTTTAGGCATTTTATATCCCAGTTGTGTTAGGAAGTAGTGTACAATAAAAGTATGGGCTTTACAATCTGAGGGAATCGGTGAAATTCTGGCTCTGCCACGTGGCTGCCTTGAGGAGCTCACCTCACATTTCTGATTCTTGCCGTTGCCCTCATGGGGATGTGAAGGAAAATAAATGTGGTTCTGCTTGAAAAGAGAATGTGAAACTGTACCTTAAATCTGCTTTCATTCTCCTCCGAAACTGAAATCTGTCTTTTCATTAGTTGCTTTATGTTTACTTGGCTTCTGGATGCTAATATTTTCCAGAATATGTATTTGTAATCTAGGTTAAATGTCTTTTTTAAAATTTCAACATTATGCTATGCCCTCAGTTTTAACAGTCTATTTCCACACGGTGTAGTGTGTTTTAAGGAAAATATGACTCGCTCACTTTTAGGAATGAATTTATTAATCTGATTATTCCACCAGTGCCTACTCTATGCTAGGCATTGGGGATAAAATAGATTATGTTAAAAAAACTGAAATATTGAATAATATGATCTTTCCAGTCACCAGTGAGATTCCAGTTTTAGGTTTGCTGAAGGGGGTTAAGGCCATTCCAATAGAAACTTTTTAGTATTTGTAGAGGAGGTGGTAAGATACATTTTATTTAGGTGAAAGACACTATTTGACTTGTTAATGCATACTCACAACAGAGATTTTATTAAACCCCACAGATAAAGTTACATGAATCTTCATTATTCACTTAGCTTATGATTTCCTTTGGGATAGTGTGACCACAACATGAAATATAAAGGCCTGTTCAAAGAGTTAAAAATAAGATTTTTTTTGACTTGTGATAATATATTTTCAAATTACTGTAGCCAAAGACTATTTTCACTATACACTCCTATGAGTGTGGGTTATCTTGCTGCAACCTGAAGCTATTTTTGTTGTTTAATAGGTAGAAAGGCTTTCCTTGGGATGGAACAGAGGGGTCAAACAGCCACTGCTATAGGTGACTATATTTAGTTGGAGTCAAGAAAATTTTTGGACATTAAACCACAAACAGACAACAAAATGAAAATTGCAGTTCTGCTTACTTTGATTTCTTCTTCTAATGAAGCTTAATTTTAATAAGGTTTTAATATAAGGTGTCTGCAAGGGCGTGAGAGCAGCTGGGGGAGCAGAGGCCAGCCCTTCTCCCAAGACCAGTGGGGTTGCCCCTCTTACTCAGTGCGGTGGGGGACCCTTCCCACACATTTCTCTTTCCTGAGCTGGTGTTCTTACAACAACAAAAAATCATCAAAAGATTTAAAACAAAACTGTAACTCCAATCAGTTTTTTTTTAAAGAAATTTAAAGCCATTGTATCTTCTGTTAAATATTTATGTAGTCAACTATTGATGTCTTCATTTAAATCTGTCTTTTGAGATGCAAATTAAACATGGGTAGAGAGGTAGGGGAGGTGGAGAATCTTTCCCATGAAAACGTTCAAGTGCTTGTTTTTTTTCTGAACAGAAGTCTTATTGTTTTTCTCTAGAAAACCTGAATGTACTGTTTTTAAATGGAATTTTTATTTGGCTTTATAAAATTTTTAAATAGCCTTTTGGGTTACTTAGGGATTTCTCAAGAAGAAACTTTATAAAGGTTTTATCATGTAGAAAATTACAGCGTTGTGTAGCTACAATTAAATATATTTTTCAGGCAAGCTTGAGGATATGTTGTCTGTCTTCTGAGAAATTGTTGTATAGTAAGACTTGTTTATAGAGTCTTGCATACCAAGTCTTTATGTAGTTATACTTCTTAGTGTGTGTGTGTTCATTTAAAAGCAATACTTGTTTTTAATGGTATAGGATATTACTTTTATTAACATTTTTTTTACCTCCCCAGAGTCTCTTGGAATTTAGGCATTACATTCTTTTAGAAACTGTTCTTTTATTTCTTTACATCAGAGACCTTGAATATTTAATTTACTTTTCAGTAAAGCTGTCAGTTGTAATCTGCAATTTAAAAAAAAACCTAATAAAACAAATCCTCATTTCACAATTTAAACCTTATTGAGTCTAATTCACTAGAGCTGCAAGTTTATTATTCTCCTGCAGTTTGACGTGCCTCCAATTGTAATTGTGTTGACCCTTCAATGCATTAAATCTCCCCAGTGCTTATCAAACTGGGAGAGATAAGTCTACAATTCGGAACTTCATTAAATATCTCATTTATATTAAACAGATGATAGCTTCTAACAGAAATAATAATTTGTTCAGCTGAAGGAAGCACGACAGTTGTGGTTTCTGTGTGGGATGAGTGCCTTCTCTCTCGCCGTTCTGTGTGGTGCTGCGCTCCTGCCCACTCCCCAATATTGGCCCTCCCTGTCTGGCTAACACCAAAGCAGCATGAGATACCAGTCCTTGTGGCAAACCTCAGAGCCCGCGTCATGGGAATTGTAGTGAAATGTGCTTTGATCCTCCTTAAAACAAAATTGTTTGAAGGTCTTACTAACATGAATTCCTTACTCACATTATTTTTATGTCAAATATGATTTATCAGACACAGCTAGCTGTTTTAAGAAATGCCCCATACCATTTTAATTTTTTGTCATCGAAATTGACATACATTCATTGCTTATTTATTATATTGTATATGTTTTGGGAATCCTCTTATCTTTGTGTACTTCCTTAGAATATTTGATCCCAGTTTTCATATTGTTCTGTATACGACTAAAGTGATTATTGTAGCTACTATCGTATACTTAAACATTGCAATAAGCTAATACCATGATTATTCTTAATTTCTAGCAGAAGGAATTTAAAATCAGTTTGTTGTTCAAGACACCTGAGCTGACAGTGGGAATCTTTAGGTCTTGTAGAGTAGGTAAGAATTCCACCAGCACACATGCAAAAATGTGTGCTAATTGTTAGATGTGTTTACCTACCATAAGTATAAGACCTATAGCTAAATTGCAGCTTGTGTTCTGATAAAGCACTCCTTTTATAGAGTAACATCTAGTAAAGAATTCTGAATTACGCTGTAACTTAAATTGACTTAAACAGACACTAACAGTCAAATTGGAAAAATAAGCAACAAGCTCTGATTTTTAAAAAGTCTTTAATATACATATTTTGCCTCCAGTGGTTGAAATCTGACAGAACTTCATGGGAGGCCCAGTATAAAAGTGGAACAGAAAGTTGGTTATTAGGCAGAGCTGTCATCGCAAATTATTTTGGTACAGGGTGAAAAGTTCTAGTTCATTTGGTACCCAGTTGGATACAGGCCTTGGGCAAGTTGTTATAATTCCCCCATGCTGCTAATGGGCCTCCACGTACTGATTTTTCTTTGCCCACCCCCCCCCCACTCCTTATGCTGTAGCTGAAATCACCTGGGAGCCCCCCTGGACCTGAGCTACCCATTGAAACAGCGTTGGATGATAGAGAACGAAGAATTTCCCATTCCCTCTACAGTGGGATTGACGGGCTTGATGAATCGCCCAGCAGAAATGCTGCCCTCAGTAGGATAATGGGTGAGTCAGGTAAAACTCTGTTTATCACATCTTATTTTGATGCTTTCATTGGTTTAATGAGAGGTTATTAGTGTAATATTAACATAAATATTAATATAATATTAGTGTAATATCAATGTAAATTAAAGTCCTAATGTTTTCAAGATGCAAGAGAACAGGTTTATTAAAATCATTCGGGAGTGTTCATGTGAAGAAGTAAATCAATCCATTGATTTAAGTGACTTTTAGATCCTGTAACATGAAGAAAGAACCAGAAAGAAAGGGATCATATGGAAATGCTTTCCAGTGATCAAGATATTCTTTACTTACTTGGGATAATAAGTGAAGCTATGTTTAAAAAGGAATAAAAATTTAATGTTTTATGGCAAGAAGGATTCAAAAGTTATGTATCATTCACAGTGGCACTGCCTGGAGGGGGAGAAAAAATATGTATATACAGATATATGCACACACATATAAAAATGCACATGTATTTGGTTTGTATTTAATAGGGTGTTACTGTGTTTTAATTGTATTTTACTTTTTTGAAGCCTTAGTTTTAAAATCCCGAGAGTAGTCTTTGCATCCTTTGTTTAGATTCGGTACCATGTCTGCATGGCCCCCCGTGGGTAATGACGTTGTTAGCACTTGCTTTGCAGCAATTCAGCTTTCTACTAACAGATCCAGTTATTAAAGACTTGCTTTGCCACAGAAGTAGGTGAATTTACTCAGTTGCTCATCTTGGGATTAGCTTGTGAGAGTTTTCAAATTTAAAACACAAGAAGCTCTTTTGATTAAAATAACACCTGGCATAAAACACTTTTATTACTGGTATATTTTGCAAGGCTCTCATTTAAAGTAAAATCCTAAGTTTAACTTCATTTTGAGTACATTTAATGCAGATTTAATACAATTCAAGTTTCCATTATGGAGCCTTATTGAAACAGTAATTTATTCATCAGTGAGTGTTTATGGAAAGCCTGCTATTGGCAAGACATTGTATATATTCTTTTGCGGTAGATACAAAGATGATTAAGAAGCAATCTCTGCCTTTGAAGACCTTTCTACCAGGCATGATAAAAAACATACATAAGCATGTCTAGTAGAATTGTCTGTTGTTCTTTAATCTTTCTAGGTTTCTAATTCAGAAAAAATGCTGAATTTGTGATTTCTTATTTTACTACATATGAAACTTAGAAAAGTGAGCATTCCAGTTTTACTTTGTCAACATTTTTCTTACCTGCTCGACATAAGTGAATGTCAGGGAAGAGTGCCACACCTGTTGGGTTGAACACCTGTCAGGTGAAAGGCTTTGTTTGTACATAGTTTATCACTTTTAAATCTTTGCTTTTACTTACCTCTGTCTTCACTGCTGTTGGATGTTGGATTTTTCATACTTTCTTGGCTTTGGTGTAAAACTTTATTTTTGGTAAATAATTTTTTTATTGATAAAATTTCAGACCCCTTGAGAGAGAGAAAGTGTGCATGTGTCCCTAGATATGTGTGCACACAAAGTGATATGCTGTAATTTCCCCTTTATTATAGGAACATAGGACTTGCCATACTGAATCAGACCATTGGTCCACCAGTTCCTGTAACCTGCGTCCTGCCTCCAACCCCTGATGCTTCAGAGGAAGGCGAAAAACTAAAACTAAAAATCAAACCAAAAAAAAAATCCCTAAATTCAGCTAGTGACCTTTTGAAATGCTGTATATATGGGTTGAAGAGTCATTCGTTTTCTTCATAATCTGTTGCCCTGATTTTGTTAGCTACAGCTTCATTAGTCCTCTTCAATTTGCATTATAGTTGACATTGTTTCCTCTTCCTTCTGCTAGATATGTAATGAACTCTTAAAACTCCAGAGGCTTCCCCAGGGCAGTGACTTTTCTCCCAGTTCTGTGTTTTGTGATGTATATGCCCTTTTATCACTTTGGGCTGTGGGTGACAAATGCATTACTATTTAAGGGTAGCCTAAATTGATGTTTTTATGATTTGGATATTTTCTTAAGACAGTTTTTTACAATGTGTACCAGAAACTAGGGATTCTACACAATTTTACCCTGACAAGTGTATATGCATATCTTGATTCATCTTGTGTTTTACAAATTTGAAAATTCCTCACTCTTTTCAGTCTTTATTCTAGTATCATTGGCTGTAAGAATCAAATGCTATTTGTGAAGTTAGTTACCACTTAAAGATAGAAATCCTATTCAAGATGTTTCCTTGCAGCAGAATGCCAAAACAAGGTGTCAGGAGAGTTATGCTTGACAAATCACAGTTTCTGAACCAAAATTTGCATGTATGTTTTTCTGAGTCATAAATTCCATATTTCCAAAGACATCAGAACATTGGATTTCCATTCACCTAAACCAACAACAGTATTTATTAATTTGCACAGTATTTAGGCACGTGGATATTTCTCAGACCGTTTGATTAATGATTGTCCTTTATATGTTTTGAATCACTCCTATCTAGACATTAGTGGAGGTGTAGGTATTTACTTCATGATCTGCTAGGATGCAAAAAGAACTTTGTATTGAAATTCTAGCCGATTTCCTTAGGGAATTATTAATTTTATGTGAACACATTGAATTTTCGTATGGAATAATCCCCCATGTGAAACTTGAGGCTAAACGGAGGTTTGAGGCTTTGTGATCCATTCCTATGTGAACACATCCCTGGTGAAAGGCTTTTAAAAGATATACCTGGAAAGGAAGAGTCTTTGGAGTTAGAAGGATGTCAGATGTCATCAGTCACACTTTCCCACTTAACAGACAAAGGAACTAAGTCCTGATATCCATGATGTTTTTTGTTTTACTTTGTTTTTGGCTATTTCCTTTTTCTAAAAATAGCCTCTCTGGGGGATTCTGAGAGATTCATTCTCTATTAATATCAATTTATAGTTATCTACATCTATAAGCAGATTCTGTGAAAGTCTGCAGATCTGATTCTATCCTGGTATGCACTGTAACTAAAAAAAAAATGAGATGTTTGAAAACAGCCTTCAAAACCACATAATCCAACTGACTTACCTTCTATGTCAGGAAGTTATAGAGCAAATAAATTAAGTAACTTGACAGAAGTTGTACAGTTTGTGTACTTCTGAACCAAAATTTGGATGCATGTTTTTCTGTGTCATTAGTCACACCTCATAAGGATTTCCTTGGCTTTTGTTGACATCAGCCGGGATTGTGACCACAGGCAAGATTTCTCTAAATGTCATCTCATTTGACAGAATTTCCACTATAATGGATTTTCTGATAGTCCTGGACATTCATAAAAAAGTAATCTGTAGTGGGCCTGACTACATAGAATTCTTCCTTTGAAAATCCCAAAAAAAAATTGTTTTCATGGTTGGTCTCTCAACTAACAATAAAAACCAGCAACAAGGCAGCTAGATGTGCTGGCTCATGCCTGTAATCCCAGCACTCTGGGAGGTCCAGGCAGGTGGATGTTTTGAGATCAGGAATTCAAGACCAGCCTGGCCAACATGTGAAACGCCATCTCTACTAAAAATACAAAAATTAGCCGACATGGTGGTTCACACCTTAGTCCCACCTACTTGGGAGGCTGAGGCAGGAGAATTGCTCAAACCTGGAAGGCAGAGCTTGCATTGAGCTGAAATTACACCACTGCACGCCAGCCCGGGCAACAGAGTGAGGCTCCATCTCAGAAGAAAACAGAACCAGGTTGATAGGCATAACTAATTTAACCAGCACATACACTTCATAAAAGACATCATACATTGTCATTTGTAAGCCTGGGACTTTAAATTTTTCTCAACGTTTTTTAGCTGAATAGTTTTTCTGTTTAAAACAAAACTGAAATCTGTTGTATCCATTTTAGAATTTATCTTAGTAGTTTCTATATTCATTTATATGTGGTGAGTTTAAGAAGACATTATATTTAGAATATTTTTATCTTGTTAGGAATTTGACATTGAAAAATGGAACATTTATTTTTTGTTGTGAGCCATGTCACTGGCACAGTTTTCCTTAGTATCGTGTGATGTTACCTTATATGTAAATTTGCCAATGAATAAATGTTTAGTAAACAAACATTTTGTATTTCATTGTTTCACTCCTCTGCAAGATACCGACAGGTTTACTTAGTTTGCAGTTCACTAGTTAACTAGTTGAAGAAAGAGGCAAATTGATCTATCAAAAATAAATTGAAGGCTTCTCAAGTTTTAGAAGGTTTCACATTTATTTTGTGTCAAGTACTAGCAAGCATAATTAAGAGATCATGCTGTTGTCTAGGTAGAGCTTAGTAGAATATGTCGTCAAGTTTTTCAGCTGTCCATTACACTGGTATGATCTTGGAGCCATATCCCAAAACTATATTCCTGGCAAGCATGTTAAGATATGAATTTTCATATCTTGCAAAATATTAGCCTTCCAAAGTATGAGAAAAAAAATGCTAAATTCTTTTTTTACTATGAGGAAGATTTCTTGCCATTTATTTATGTATACAATATTGTATCACAACAGTTAAGGTACAATATTTCTATTCAGATTAACATATTACAAAAAAATTATATACACTATTCAGTGTTCCATACTGCTTATTAGGCCATGTCTCAGAATATAATGTACAAAACCTAAAGTTTTAGTTTTGTGTTTAAAAATGAATGCACTATGATTATCCTGTAACATTTCCTTTTAATAAATTATGTCTGTGTGGGAACTTGGTATTTAATATTTTGACGTGCCTCATCAGTGGTGAGTTGTCCACTGGGGTAACTGGTTTTATAATTCTGTATATTTTGAGGAAATAAGTATGTCTTGAGAAGGAAACATTTCTTTGGCTAATAGTGCTATAATGTCCAACCTTATTGATGAATGATACTTTTGCTGAACAGGTATCTGTACTAATATTCTAACACTGTATTAGAAATAAATGAGTAATTTGAATTCAGGTAAGGGAAATTGCCACATATTACATTTGATTTACATTTTTGTCATTAGCACTTGATATAAAGCTGTTGATTTTCTTTCTCTTTTTTTTTGAGACAGAGTCTTGCTTATACTGTTGCCCATGCAGGAGCGCAATGGTGCGATCTCGGCTTACTGCAACCTTCACCTCCTGGGTTCACACAATTCTCCTGCCTCAGCCTGCCTAGTAGCTGGGATTATAGGTGCACACCACCATGCCTGGCTAATTTTTTGTATTTTTAGTAGAGATGAGGTTTCACCATGTTGGCCAGACTAGTCTTATACTCCTGACCTCGTGAAACACCCGCCTTGGCCTCCCAAAGTGCTGGGATTACAGGCATGAGCCACCGGGCCTGGCTCCTGGTACAGTTTTTCAAAGGATATTCATTTTAGAATGCGTGTAGCATTTTCACATTAGAAGACATTTGAAAGAGTGTCTTTGACTTTAGGAAACTTAAAACCAGAAAAATTGCATGCAATGCCCTGAGCTACATAGTTGGAGCATCAGAGGTAGTAATACACTCAAGGTCTCTGTTTGACAGTCATTTATGAAAAATAAATGTGCTAAATTCTGTTTTATTCTACCAGGTTGCGCAGATATTTGGAAGGTTAGACTTTTACTAATGTAGCAAAGTATTAAAATTAATAGATGTAACACTTTGATCGATGTCTAGAATTTGTCTTCTTTTTTCACTGGACAGGTAAATACCAGCTGTCTCCTACAGTGAATATGCCCCAAGATGACACTGTCATTATAGAAGATGACAGGTTGCCAGTGCTTCCTCCACATCTCTCTGACCAGTCCTCTTCCAGCTCCCATGACGATGTGGGGTTTGTGACAACAGATGCTAGTACTTGGGCCAAGGCTGCAATAAGTGATTCAGCCGACTGGTAAGCTCATCTAGGGTTGGAAAACATGAATTAATTACAGTCCCGTTTTATGTATAAGTGGCTTACCACTAAATACAGTTAATCATTTTTTTAATAGCCATGCTCTGTTTTCATGGTTTTTATACACTTAATTATCACTCTTCTAATAAAAGATTATCCCCAACCCTGTAAACTTAATTGCTTTAGCCTTCAAGAGGTATAGTTAGTAATGTAACCAAAACAATGACAAAATTACCACCAACCAAAAAACCATGCTCGTTGGTTTTTAAGTTTCTTTGTTTATTATTTATTTCAGATCTATGGTAATTAAATGCATTGTTTTGCAAATAAATAAATAAATTATTGGCAACTCCCTAAATTGATTGCAACAGTTAGGTAACTTTGACAAAACTAATAGTTGATGTGTTCTAATAGTGGGAGAAGCCTTTTTTTAGAGTAATGTAATTATACTGTTTAAAATGCTTTGTAATTGCTTTTAACACAGTGACTTTTAGGGAACTCCCTGCTATCTTTTCTCCTGTGTCTTTGGAAATAGAAGAAAGCGTTTGATATTACTGAGCCAATGTATGGCTCATGAATGTGGATGTGTGCCTTAATCTTTATGCCTAGTAATTATATACATCAATAAGCAAAAGCAAAGCCCCTCTTGGGGGCGACCTTGCAAGGTTATAGTGATAATTAACACAAACCATGTGAAGTATTGTACCAGAATTTTCTCATTGCCCTTTCTCTGGGGTCTTTTATGAGTATATCAGCAAAATCATATTTAAATGTTATGGCGTTCCTTCACCACTTAGCCATTCCTGCTTCCTACTGTTTTTCTGGCTTGTGTCAACATTAAATATTAGATAGAAGGCGTCGGGGGGACTGGCATTTGTTTGTGTTAACATTTTTAGTGATGATCTTAACAAAGTGAACCACTCCCCCAGTCGTCTTCTCTGGCTCACTACATGAACACACAAAATACAATTCATTTATCTGTTAATTCTGAAGATGTTCTCTTGGAATAAATCTCACCTCTTATTTGGGAACTGAAAAAGTTCATCTCTAGCTTTTCATTTCTTTCTTTTTTAATTCTCTTTTTGAAAGCACAGGATTTAAAAATAGAACTACACTCAAACCTGCATGATAATGGCCCATCTTTGAATGAATTTTTTGGTTAAACATAGAAAGGAAGACTACAATATGAAGTAAAAACCCATTTGAAATCTGCAGATGGTGTGACATTGACTGCTGTGTCTCATAACTCTTTCTGAAAATGAAAGTAGCAACAGAGAAAGCAAGAATTGCATAGATGCAGTATTCATCTTAGGGACAAAAGCCTTTGAATCTCTACCATGATGAGAAATTGTGGAGGTGGTCATAGTTATAGATCTGTTTGGGGCCTCATAAAGCACTGTATTAGTGAAAATAGATAAATAACTAGCAGGGATAGATTGTGGCATTAATTTCCCTAAGGGGGATTTGCAAAATGGTGAGGACTTGTATAATTTTGCTGTGGGGAATGTGGGGCAAAGAAAATAATATGAATGAAGGGTTATCCAAACAAGAATGGCAGCTGTTCTGAATCACAGCAGAAACTGTAAGCTTTTCCAGCCTGACAATATCTTTCCTAATCCTTGATGAAAATGTTATGAAAACAAAAGGCCAATAAGACAGGATTAATAACTGGAATTTTAATAACATTAGGGGTCAGGATATGGTTACATTTTTTAAAGAATCAGCTGTCATTCCTACAATCTAACTTGTTAAATATTCTAGTGTACTATTTATTGTGTCTGAAATTAGTTTAATGGTTATATTAATAAGGAAGAATTAATTTTGTCATAATTTAAGAATATTTAGTTATTTTAAGACTCTTACTAATGCACAAACTCATTTGACATTTTAAATTGTGTCTGTAGTTCATTGCATAGTTGTCGAAGGCTATGTCAAATGACTAAATTACTTGTTTACTTATAGAACATACTATTTTCAATCTATTAATTGAGGGAACGTTAATAATGTGTTTATGGGGGAAATGAAGTAACAAATTCTAATCTTAATGGCAGCATAATTTTAGAGGATATAAAATTAAAGATGCACCAATATGTGTTTTTCAGGCAAGATTGGCAGTGGCAATTTGTATTTCTTTGAAAAACCTTTTACCAATAATTTCTTCTAACACTGTATTTCAAATTCATTCTGTTCACAAGTTTGGTGAAGTGTTGGAGTTGAGGTTTAAATTATTCCACAAGATGTAAAAAGAATTGGTTAGCATGTACAGGGTGACTGGAGAGATTTCACTGTCTACATAAAAGAATTATTGGAAATATATTATTTAGAGTTTGCTGCTGTAAAATTGTGTCATATTACTCATCATATGGGTTTTAATATTTTACTTCTAGAATGTGTTTTTTCCCTGGGGTGTATGTGCTCTGATAATTATAAGCCATGTACACCAAAGCATAGCAGTATGTGAAGGGCCATATGAGGCTAGATGTCTGTCACCGTAATGTGTATTACTTTGATAATTTTATATAGTCTTCATTGGGTGATGACTTACTTGTTTAGTAGTTAGCAATTTACATGGAACTTTCACCTTAGGTTGCTGAATTCTCTCATTAGCTTTTTAAGTGGATGAGACAACTATTCTCTTTATTGAGCACATTAATGCATAGCTCAAAACATCTCAAGTCACCCTACCCAATGGCAGGACTTTGCCTGCTGTCTTACTTTTCCAAACTTGTAGCTTAGTTATTCTTTAGGAGCCAACTCTCATTTCATGCACAGTAAATGGCAACTGAATTTCTGATGTGAATCCAAAGGTTGACTATCTTTTTACTAGTATGGATGTTAATTCTCATTAAGAGAATTCTAACCTGTTAAGGGTTAGAAAAGCTTGCTTCCATCAGAAACATGAGGAAGACTATCATAAATTCAGCTGACAGTGGAAGGAGCCCAGGGCATTTTCAGTGTGCTTAGTTAGCTGTAGAGAGGGATGTTTTCCCACCTGGCCAGATAGGTAAGGTGGCTGGACCTGATATAGTCGGGCTGGTATACTTATCTACCCAAAGTGCCCAGCACAGAGAAAACCTTTTTCATATTATGAACTGTGGCTAGAACACCTGATAGCACTTTAGAACGCATTCACAGATTTTTACAAACGGGAGTGATTCTGGGACATCTTCAACCACTTGCATTGGAGGAGCACTTCAGAAGGCATCCTGTTACCAGTGATTTACCATATACTTTCTTATCATCCCCACTTGAGCCACTGTGTTGATGTCATCCAAATCAAATGTCATCTAAATTTAGTCATGCTCTTCCTGACTCTCATATACTGTTTATTCACTCATTTGTGCATTCCCAGCATCAGTTTCATACTTCTGGTTTAGTATTTTTCTTATGAGCTCACAGAGTATAGGGATCTTTCTTATCTGTTATTTGGACCTATGTATCTGGCACAATGCCTTAATCAGAATAGGTTCTAATAAGAGTTAGTTCAATTGATTTCTTTGTTGATTTAATATTTCAGAGAAACTTCAGCCTAATGAAATGACATGCCATAATAAGATATATTTTTTCTTTCCTTAAAACACAACATAAAAGATACATAAGAAGGCTAGAATATACTCTTTTTGAAACTTCTGTTTAATTACAATTTATATGGTCACTTGTTCGCTGCCAGTATTGTATATAATATGTGACAGATTTCCTGAAATATTCAATCCTTCCAATATTAGGCTCATTTTTTATAATCACCTTGAAATAATTCTTTATTGTCAAATAGAGTGAAGAAGCAGAGAGGAAAGTAGAGAAGGAGAAAATTCACATGGAGAAAGAGTTACTCTAAATGTTAAATGAAGTTTGTGTTTTTCCATCACCTTCTATACAGCCACAATTTTTTTTTTAAATGAACTGTGTGTTATTTAGTTCAGTTTTTCTTGAAGAATACATATATGTATATTCTCACACACAGGTATGTATGAACCTTCCTAAAATGGATGTCTGCTATTAGTAAATATTTTTATGTTTGTATTTTTCTTCACACCAGCTCTTTGAGTCCAGATGTTGATCCAGTTCTTGCTTTTCAACGAGAAGGATTTGGACGTCAGAGTATGTCAGAAAAACGCACAAAGCAATTTTCAGATGCCAGTCAATTGGATTTCGTTAAAACACGAAAATCAAAAAGCATGGATTTAGGTAGTGAGTACAATCTCCATGAATCTTTATCTAAATAAGGTTTAAATGCTTTCAGGATAAAATTGATGGTCCCAAACAGATGTCTGTTTACTTTGAGCAATAGAGAAAATAAATATGAAGTGTGGCAATTTGGAAAAAATTAGTTTTTCTCTGAGTTTGAGATAACAATATTACTCATAAGTGGCATGTTTACATAATATGCAATATGTTAATATACATGTTTTCTTATGAGAAAGGAAACAGACACATATGCATATCATACTATGTCCATGTACCTTTATTTTACAAAATGAAATGTTTTAACACTTTGGCTATTCAAAACCAGTTTCATCGAAATTCTATTTGGTTGGTTGTGGGATTTTTTGAACTGGAAGAGAAAATTTTGGAGAGAAACCATTATCTCAATCCATGTCTGGAATTTGGTTACTTCATGATGTCTTCCTTTCATTGCTGTCCTTTAAGGTTTATTTATTAGAAACTCTCATGTTTTGATAATTAAGGCATTTAAGCAAAGTAATTATTTGAGAGTATTTATTATAGAAAGTATTTAAGAGCAAATGAGAGGAGGAAAATAATTGTATTTGTTCAAACACCAATCAGGTAGTGTCTCTTTAAATCCAAATCCACCAAAAAAAAAGTAAAATAATTAATTATATCTAGACACTGAATGATTTAAAACCTTTGTTAATCAACTGTAACTTATGCTATTCTCTGGTGGCTGTTTGTATTCCAAGACTAAAAGCATTAACTTATCATATGCGTAAAGAAAAATTTGGTGATGCATTGCCTTGGCTAATTATGATATGCTAACATATAACACACATGTCTGTTAAATGAAATGACTGGCATATTGCATGGAGACACTGCTTTTTTTTCCTCCTTTTTTGATTATGAATGTTTGCTTGATGTTTCATAGTATTTGCATGAAATGTTAGCTGAGGATCGTCACCTAACTGAAAAGATCTGGGAATGGTGGAAGCATGATGGGCTATGGGAACTAACTGGGCTAACCATTATACATTTACCTTTTAACAGTAGCTGACGAGACTAAACTCAGTACAGTGGATGACCAGAAAGCAGGTAAGAACGGACAGTTAGACTGTTGCCATAGAAACCATGGCCCACAGAGCTTATCACAATTATCAAGCTGCCAATCACATGCCATGTAAACATACATATTCCCGGCTTGTGCAGATGTTTTCATTGTGGGAAATCAAATTACATAAGAAAAGAAATATTTTCTGTTACTAAAAATTTATCAGTGATATACTTACTAAGTAGGAATGTAATTTACTGCTTCAAAAAGGCTAGAAACAACCTAGATTTTCTTAATTATATGCATGTAAGGATGTTTTATTCCAATTAAAAAAAGTCAAAATCCTGAAAATATGATCTGTTATAGTAGACTCCTAGGTTTTTAAGTCATCTATGTGATGTCTAGGTTCATATCCAAAAAGTGATTCTCAGAGTGATGATTTTGATTTGAAAGATAATAGTGCCAGTATAAGTATTTTTCATTATAGGGCAATGTCCAGTATTACTATCATTAATCACTCAGAAATCCCTTTTTTTTTTTGTGATGCTGGCATTAGCTTGTAGTTAATCTGACATTGGATTAGACTATATAATGCATATGGCTTCGTATCTTAATTCCTGAGCTTGTTCTAAATTCATTACTTCTAAAATACTGCTAAATCATTCCATAGAAACAATGGATTATATTGGACTGGGTTTGCATTATAGTCATCTGTTTTGCTTTTTATGTTATTTTTATATGACAGTAATCAGAGGAAAGTCTTTAAGTGTAGTTAATGTGCTTTGTACAATTGACCATTTATGACTTATTATAAGTTAGGAACAGTGTTTTAATTATTCTGTATCCAGTATAATGTAGTTACACTACTTAGCACTAACAAGCTTGAATTTACCTCTTTAACCTGTAGTAGTGAATTTAGTTTTAGCCTAATTAAAAAATGTGTATCCCACATATATATGTAAAGATTATTGTGGACATGGTTGGAGTTATATTCTTTGGAGTAAAAGATAGATGATAAAAAATACTTCTAATAAATCATAAGATTAACTGTATTGCAAAGCAATTAACTATAGCCTCAGCCCTTACTGAGTCATTGTTGTTCTTATGAAACCTAAAGTTTATTGAATCAGAGCTAAAGAAAAATGTTACAGGATAGTTCACATATATAAAATAGTAATTAGTGTTTAGAGTTAGCACTATTTAGTACTTTTCAAGCAGTAACCCCAATCAAAGTAAATATTCACAAAAACCAAATCGAGCTGCTCAGGTTAAAGGACCTAATTTTGTATACAATGTTAGTTAAGTAAACTGAGAAAAGTACTTAATTTAACCAACTCACAGCTACTAGAAGGTAAAGGACAATTTGCTGTGATCTACAACATAATGATAGCCAAGTTATAACTCAGTGCATTTGATAACTTTCATGGAAAGTCGTTACATAAGTTTCAAGGCAGATTTTATAGTCTAATCAAAAATCAAACTATGTTTTTGTGTGTTAAAGTGTTAGATTCTAGAGAAAAGAAGAACCGTTTTTTCTTGCATATGTGCAGTCTATCCTACCACATTAAATTAGAAAATCATGGGAAAAAATTTTTACAAAGATGTCAGAATACTTGGTCTGTTGGTTTTACATCTAAATGAATAAAATACCTAAGGTAGATACTTAATTATCTCTCTGTCCCCTAATATTAATGAACAGATTTTCACTTATTTTTCTTTCTTTACTTCACTTGACTTAAGTTTTTAAGAAAGATTATGATTAGTCCAAAGATTTTGGGGAGAATCATAGTGACTTTTTAGCATAGAACATCTGTCTAGCCTAGCCATAAGCCTTTCATAATGAAAATTGAATTACATTTCCCTCCGCCCCTTGCAAAAGACATCCTTTCCTTTCCCTTTTTTTTTTTTTGGAGGGGGCAAGAGGGATATTACTAAGTAGGAGTAAAATACAGATCTAGGGAAAATGGTATGATTGTAATTTCCCTCTTTTTTTTTTTTTTTTTTTTTCCAGATTTAGGAATCTTCTACATAATTTCTCCCCAAATTATAACAAGGCAGAACAGGTGTAAGAAGAGAATTGCATTTCTGATAGTCCATTCTTGAAATATAAAAAATTAGCAAAGTATGCTAATGACCTAAAAGATTTATATAAATTAAGAGCTTAAAATATTGTTTCAAAATTAAGACAAAAGATACTGATTTTTATGCTGTAAATAAAAAGTCTTTTTTGTATACTTTAAATACAGAAATACTTTTTCAATTTTCATTACTAGTAAAATAATAAGCTTGTATCATTAGCAAATCCTTTTAGTTGTTTTTCTTAAAGGCACTTGACTGAATCAGTGTGTTAGGGATTTTAATAACTCATTGGGAAATCCTAACATATCACTCAAAACCTTTGTTACAGTTTCTTTGTCAAATATAGTACTAAAATGTTTGTTACTCATGTTAAAAATCGAAAGTTAGCAAGCTCTTTCTGCAAAGGAACAGATGGTAAATATTTTAGGTCTCTGTTGCAACTTTTACATTCTACCATTGTTGAATGAAAGCAGCCATAGACAATATGTAAATACATGGGCATGGCTGTGTTCCAGTAAAATTTTCCACATTTGACTCATGGTTTGCTGATCTGTGTTGCGGATTCACAAGTTGTAGATAATTGACATTTTGTATAATGTTTTATTATAAAAGTTTTCATCTATACATAAATATTCACTGACCTTCCACAAACCCAGGGCCCACCATCCACAATGATTAACATTTTGCCAAAAGGTTATATAACAGTGTTATGAATTTAGGGAAACGACTAGATAGGTGAGCTCTGAAGTGCACTTACACAATTATTTTCTATTGAATTCTACTTTCACCATTGTTTTTCTCTCCAAGTTTGCTTGTGTTTATGCTGAGGGACACTCAGTTTTAATAAATACTCATGCCATTTCTGAAATTCATTATTCAAGTTTTTGTTCTGAGTACACTAAGTAAAATCTCAGCTAACTTTATATAAAGAAAAGCTTAATATAAATAAATGGTGTTTTTATGAGAATTCTTTCTGCAAACATGAAATCTTTATTCATGATATATACTCACATACAAATACATGCACACATACACATATCTTTGATAAACCCGAGAAAGCACCAAATATTTGCCTAATAGATATTTATAGAACCCAAATATAGCTGGTAAATGATGAAAATTGATAGGCATAATTTATTCACAGAAAGATCTTTCCATGTGAATTGTAGAAACTGTAAAGGTAAATATCCCTACCTAGGAATGATCTTTTCCCATTCTTTTTGATTCTTTATTTCTTATTATGTAGGTTTTTGGAACAAAATTCATTTTCCTTCCCATGGCATGACTTTTATGAGTAATTTAGAAAATGTACTTGTCAAAAATTGTAGTGCTACCCAGAAAAAAAGTAAGATTGATCTCTTTGAAAGAAATATGTCACGTGAACTCTTGTCATAAAATAAATAAAGCAGTATAGATGATCCTGCATTGAGAAAGCTAAATATGACGTCTTTTCCTTTCCAGCACAATAATTTGTGGAATACCATTTCTTCATTATGGTCATATGTTTGCCTTTCTGTTTGTGCTACATTTTAAACGTATCTTATAAAACAGCTTCATTTAAGATATGTGAATCTTAAAAAGTTAATTTTTGTTTTGACTCTTTGAATGTAATTCTATTTTATATTCTGAGCTGTGGAAAGCCTATGTCACAGCTATTTCTTTTCTGGGTATTAACGTGATCAACATATGGGCTGCTGACCCCATGCAGAGATAAACTATTTTGTTTCTCCTACCCTCCCATGTTTTTTCACCTGTCTTTTTAACAATATACATGAAGAACCAGTTCTATGACCTGGATTGCCCAGGTGGTGGTGCAGAGCTGGTATTTCAGTCATCCAGAAGCTAAATTAGTCTACCTTTGAGTGTCAGGTCAGGCAGTGATGGATGAGGCTGTCTTACCTGGTTAAAGAAATCAGTTTTGATTGCCTTCCACAGCTTGGTACTGCTATTGGTATTATCTCTGGCCCTTCTGCTATAGATCCTCAGGAAATAGAGCCAGATTTTTAATTCCCGAAATTTGTTCCTGTCATCCTCATGAAATGTTCTTGTTAATTGCTAAGCTGTCTTTGTTCTGTCCATCACCTGTTTTCCAAACATATTATTCCCGGGCCTAGATATAGAAGTATTCATACCCACCTCTCTCCTTTTTCACTTCCCTCTAAGAAAGAGCCCTTGCGTAATCTGTTTATATTCAAAGCTTATGTTACTCTTTCTATAGAATATCCATATTTCCTAGGATTGGTTTCTGCCTGCTGCCAGGTTGGCCTAATTGTTTTGGTGACATGTAGGCCCCCATGCTCTTAACTCCTTGTGGAGTGTTGTGAGCCTGCAGTTTAGCAAGGAAGAAACTTGATGAAGTACATTGATGTGCATGTCTAACTTCTGTTATGAATAATTTTAAATTGCCCAAAAAAAAGATTTTCATTTAAGTGCAAAGCCTATTCTTGGTTGCTTACCTTACCTTCTCCATTGTCCCTTGCTTTTCAAATGAGCTTCCAGGTTATTCTGGTTCTTTTAGATTATTTCTATTACTGGAGCAAAATGATTTGACAACAATTTGATCTGTTGAATTTTTTTTAAAGTAATGACTTAGAGTTTTTTTTCTAATGCAAAGAGAGAAAATAGACCAAGTCTGATATAAATTTGGAAAAAATTAAAATTAGCAACTATTACTTCAATTATTCTTTGTCTTTTCCATCTACATTCCAGAACTCATTATTGAGCAGTAATTATTATGTCCCTGAAGTTTTCCACAGTGCATATTCAGATACATACTTTACACTAATCCACACTAACGTTTTGTTTTTGTAAACCTCCCAGGTTCTCCCAGCAGAGATGTGGGTCCTTCCCTGGGTCTGAAGAAGTCAAGCTCATTAGAGAGTCTGCAGACTGCAGTTGCCGAGGTGACTCTGAATGGGGATATTCCTTTCCATCGCCCACGGCCGAGGATAATCAGAGGCAGGGGATGCAATGAGAGTTTCAGAGCTGCCATCGACAAATCTTATGATAAGCCTGCAGTAGATGATGATGACGAAGGCATGGAGACCTGTAAGTTTATAATGGCTGAAAGAATAACAGTTAAAATGTCTGTATAGAGCAGCATTTCTTAATGTGGGCTCCAGGGAGCCCTGGGGCTTTCCTACGACTCTTCAGGGGAATTTCTGAGGTCTCTTAGGTCCAATAATCTCTGATTTCATAAGAAGATGATATTATTTGCCCTTTACTCACATTCCCTCATAAGTATACAGTGGAGTTTTCTGGAGGCTGCGTGTCATGTGATTCTGCATTAGATCTAATGCAAAAGCAGATAGGAGAATCCATCTTTTAGGCCAATATTAAACTAAAAATTTCTAAAATATTTAACAGTACCAATGTTCTCACTTCTTTTGGAATATATAACTTTTTTGGTAAAAATATAATTTCTGTAACATGAAATTGCTTTATTGCTTTTAAAAAGTAATATTTTAAGACTTTCCTAGTTTTAAATCAGTGCATATTGCTAGATATAATCTACATACAAAAAAGTAATTTGGAGTGCTTAATAATTTTCAGAAGTGTAAAATTATCTTGAGATCAAAATGTTTAAAAACCACTACTTTGTAGTATCTCGCTACGGTGTCTCCACTGAATAATCTGTGATCCTAAGAACACATTTTGTTTTGTTTTCAGGAATTATTCTTGCTTTCCTGTAACTAAAATAGCAAGCTGTATTTGTGTGGGTATATTTTAAAATTGCAAAATATTTAAAGCCAAGATTATTACAAGTCAAAGGTCAATACAAATGTTTTTCATGGTTTATTGGAGAAAAAATAAATTTATAGATACGTACAAATGTATCCTTTCAGAGAGTTAAACATTTATTATATTAAAGTAATCATTCTTTTAAAAAATAATGGAAAATTTCTACTGATATATTTACTAAGAAGCAAAGGGTTTAGGAGACCTAATAGTGAAAATTGTAGATTATCTTGTATTGTTTGTAACTACTAATTTATCTTTTAGTGTTTTAACCTCAAATGTGACTCAACCATCAAACTATTGTAAGAATAGTTGCAGGGACCACAGAATAAAGCTAAAGCAGAGACCAGAGATAATTTATGTGGATTGCAAATTACTTACAATTCAACATTTGAGTGGACCACTTCTATCACATATTCCTAAGGAAGATTTTTATAGGGAAGAAGAGTTTTAAATAACAAAGATCACATTTTGAGAATAAGGAAAAACTTTTATATTTTGCTTATACATATAATGCATTTGGGAAGATGAATACTGACATAATGTAATATGCAAAGCATAACTTAGAGGATCGCTACACTTCTCTCCACCTCCACCTGTTTCTCCATCTAAATCCAGGTAGTTTTTTCACTAAATCCAGGCAATTTTTTCAGCCAGTGATTACAAATATATGCAGCCTATTCTTGCTGAATGAAGAGTATATTTCCTATTTTTGCTGCCAAATCTGGTCTCCAAGAGCCTGAGTCCTATGAGCCTTCAACCCTGTTGAGCTTTCTCCCTTTGTAATAATGGTTCCTTGCCATCCTAATCAATATTACTTGACAATTATAGAGCTTGCTTCTGTATGTCCTGGGTGTATATTTAATCAAAAATTACTGTGCTTTGTCCCCTTTATATAATTTTTGAGTATCTACAATTTATGATGCTTTTGAACTTTTTTCTTGTTCTGGTTAAATTGTTATTTAATTTCCCTTTAAAAATGCAGTTTGCTCTTACAATATGTCACTCATTTCCAGTGTAACAGGAGATATAATATATATCTATATAAGGTGTATTTTTAATTCTGTAGGGATAGCCTCCAGAGTGTCCCACTAATGTGGACATCTGATTTAGTCTCTATATAAACCTAACTTTTTTTAAAAAAAAAAGAGAGAAATAACAGTTTATTAAAGTTCATTCATTTATCTGTCCTTCAGAGAAAAGGAGTGAAGTGAAACAAACGGATAGACATATTACAGTTTGCAAACCAAAGATAAAGTTCTGGACAAGACCTGGGAAATACACGTGTGGCAGGTGCCCTAAAAACTTGCTGCATCTCCAACCACAAAATGTCATATTTTTCAAAAGTCCTGTTTTTTGTATTTTTTGCAGACCAGGTTTCAGCATTTTGCATATGACAGAAGAAAGGCAGCTATTTTCAATTCCAAACTTTTCCAATTTGGGTTGTTGAAATTGTGTTCATAGGGTGGAATGAGCAAAGAAGTGGAATTCAGGTTACTTGCATCCTCATCTGCCTGCTTTTATTTTCTTTTTCTGAGATGAAGTCTTACTCTGTCATCAGACTGGAGTGCAGTGATGCAATCTCAGCTCACTGCAACCTCTGCCTCCCGGGTTCAAGCAATTCTCCCTCAGCCTTCTGAGTAGCTGGGACTATAGGCACATACTACCACACCCGGCTAATTTTTGTATTTTTAGTAGAGATGGGGTTTTACCATGTTGGCCAGGATGGTCTCGATCTCTTGACCTCATAATTCACCTGTCTCGGCCTCTCAAAGTGCTGGGATTACAGGCATAAGCCACCATGCCCAGCCATCTACATTCTTTTAAGTAATTTGGGATTTTGGTCAAAACTTCAACTCCTTGAGCTTTAATTCCTTCATTTTTAAAACTGAAGATTTGGACTAGATTACTGACTTTCAAATGGGTTTGTTGTAACCTCTGGTCAGGAACAGTACCTCACTGGGTTTGGGGAGTGGGAAAGGCCACCAGTGTCAGCCCCCACCACCACCTCCACAGTTGTTTTAATCACTTTTGTACTTTGGGATCCTTCATAAATTTTTGACTTTAAAAGGTGGTTTTGAGTATTTAGGAAAAAGTTGTAAATATTCTGGCTTAGGTGGTTTCCAAAGTCCCTCCTAGTTTAACATTCCATGATTCTATGTACCTCCTCACTGCCCTACGTCTGGCAGGCTAACCCCTTACCTTCTGTGAGGCCCATGTGGAAAGCACCCCACCTGTTTTCATCTTGATTACCAAACACAGGGCTTGGCAAATCATAGAATTCAGTGAATGTCTGCCAAATGGATGAGTAGGTGAGTGAGGTATCCCCCATTGGACCTTGCATGCACTAGCTCTTCAATATCTCAACAAACTCTTTTTCTTTAAAAAAAAAAAAAAAAAAAGTCTGTCAAATGTGGTGTTACTGCTGGTGATCATTAGACTTGTCAGCTTACATAAAACTAGAGATATGATGGCACTTTCTGCCTCCAGCTGTGGAAAGAAGGCTGGCTCAGCCCTCCTTCAGTATCCTAACCACACCATTTTCAGGGAAAATGGAATTGCATGGCAGGGTCTCTGAACTTGCTGTCTCTGTGATTGTGCTGCTGCATTTTTGTCTTTCTGGGCTTGTCCCTTAGCTATGTGTCCTTTGGCTGCATGTCCAACATCGTCCATTGTCTGTGCTCAGTGGCCGTCAGAAGTGGGTTCTTTCTTGTCCCATGGTCCAACTTGGTTACAGCTACCTGTAGAAATTAAAAAATTGCATCCCCCTTGGACCTGGATCTGAAAAGAGGACCATTGTCTAGGCAGATGGTCTTTCTGTCATATGGGATGTTTCCTGAGGAAGCAGTACACCCTGGAAACATGTGGCTAGGGACTGAGCCACTGTGGAAAAGCCAGGTATGGAGGTCAGTAGGAACAGAGAGCTCCCTGCATAGGGCTGCAGTCTCTGGTTTCTACCATCATGTGGCACTTCCCCTCTTTACAAGTAAGACACGTAGGCGTAGGCATGGTTGATTGCTTGTCAGTTGGGTTGAGCCCCTCCCCAGTGACTATATTCATGGCACTGAACAGCCTGGCCTCTTCTCAGCAGTGTGGAAATCATGGCACAGGCACAGCAATGGGGCCAAGAGACTGGGGTGGGATCCATGTGGTATCTGGTATCTGTCATCTTCTGTAGCACTTACGTTCTTCCTGTGGAGATGGCAGAAGCCGGCATTTTTGTCTTTCATTTAATCCATCTGGCCTCTCTATGTTGTGTGTATCTGTCTGGATCAAGATGGAGCTTTGTATTCTGGGACCCATTATCTCTGAGACCCTACCTGAGTTTGACAGGTCAGGGCATTGACAATCTGCTCCCTCTTCTATGCAAATTACATATCCAGCCTGGCTCTCAGCAAGAGACTTCTAGTTTCCCCATGATAGATCAGTTTCTATTGCTACCAAGAAAGTGCATGCAGTAAGATTGCTTTGTTTTCTTTTTAAAAATACATTAATTCTACTTTTTCATAATTAAAAGTTACCAGAAATTGTCAGCCCTAAATTCAGTTTTGTAACAGCTTTTTGTTAAGGTTGAGGAAGTGAAACAGCATAACCAAATATCTCCTATTAATTGTAACTATTCATTTTAAGATACATAAAGTTCAGAATTTTAAATGTGACAAACTTTCTGCCTTGCAAACATGAAGGCATAGTCTTCAAATGTGAAGACGGTAGCTTGCATACTTTTCTATACAGCTCTTATTAGGAGATAAGAGAAAAACACTTTTCTAAAATTTGCATAATTTAGGTTTTCAGTATGAAATTTGAAGAAACTGAATTTACATTATTTTTAAAATTTTTTTTTCTTTTTTGTGGAGATGAAGTCTCACTGTGTCACCAGGCTGGAGTGCAGTGGTGCAATCTTGGCTCAATGCAACCTCCGACTCCCTGGTTCGAGTGATTCTCCTGCCTCAGCCTCCTGAGTAGCTGAGACTACAGGCACACACCACCACGCCCAGCTAATTTTTGTATTTTTAGTAGAGATAGGGTTTCACCATGTTGATCAGGATGGTCTCTATCTTCTGACCTTGTGATTTACCTGCCTCGGCCTCCCAAAGTACTGGGATTTCAGGCGTGAGCCACTGCGCCTGGCCTGAATTTACATTATTAAATCAACTAATACGAGCGCTTCCAGGGGAATTTTGTTTTTGTTTTATAGCTATGAAATAACATATTGCATTTGCTATCTCAGATTTTCTTCTCTCAGCATTCTACCCTCTCCTACCCGCCTTCTATCACCACCTATTTCAGCCAAAGTAACGCAAACTAAG